GCCATATGATAGCCATATTTACACTGTGCGCATGGCATACAATTATGCCAATTTTCCTAATCCCTGACCAATAATTTTAATTCTGGGTGGTGGATGAAATGGGTGGAGGGTAAAATAGGTGGTGGATGTTTTACTGTACTTAAATTTTTTTTGCCTTGTGGTTGTTTTTTTTGCCTGCTAAGTCACAAAAAAATGTGTCTGATTCGCGCCAATTCCTGGACAAAAATTACGCCGTCTGGCGGAAAATCACACGGCTTTTCCAAATCACACAAGAATGTGTACAAAACAACAAAAATGGCGCCGGCAATGCTTCTGGGTCGTTTTCATCGAATGTCGGTGATTTTAAAGTAATTTTGAGTGATAAATAATTTTGTTTTGCGATCATTACACTTGCAAACGCAAATGCAATCAAATTTGTACTCTGCCGACAATAAAAACTACTTGCCCCGGAGATCGGGCGATGGTTAACATCCAGCCCTGGAAGGGCAGCTAAATACAAATGCCTGACCTTCATGAGGAGCATATAAGTTCTACTTTCCAGGTACCACCTCCTACACTACATGTGTTTATCGCCGCCCACGATGGAGCCTCATCCTGAGCTCTCAGCAATGCGCCAGTGCTGCTGAGTTTAAATACATTAAGACGATGGACGGCCAAAGCAGAACATCCTACACACTGTGAAGAGCAGGGAAAGAAAAAATGCTGGACATCCATTTCACAGGGCTCTCCTCTACAACAGAGAGTGGACCACATTGGGATGTCCCGTTGTGTTGAATCGTTTTAAGTTTTAGTCCCTGTAGAAAGCTGAAGCATTGATTTTTTTCCCCCTCTTGAAATCCCCTGTTGTGAAATGGACTAATAAACATGTCTGAATCCTGTGCTGGCTGATATATTTACAGTTCCCCTCAATAATATCTTTGTTTGGGCCCAATAGCAGCCCTGTAAGTCATTGATTTCCACCCGAGCTCAGAGCCAACATGGGACAGATTTGTATCCATCTTCTCTGCGCTTGTCCTCCGGTGCTGCTGATGGCGTCAATTCTGCCACTGGGTGACGGATAGGGTCTTCTCTGTTGATGGACTAAACATACAGTCTCCTCCCTTTCATCCTATCCAGAGAAATCGCAACTACTTTTTACCTGTTTTGTGGCAAAACATACAGGCGCCGCTAAACATGAAAAACCAGTAATATGGAGTTCACTTTATTCCATTATTGTTGCAATCAAAGAACGTGATTTATGAATAGAAATAATTAAAAGAGCAGACCAGAAACAAAACTTTAAAAATGTTGTCTCAAAAACTTTTTAAAGATAAT